TCACATTTATTAAGGACATACAGGTTTAAAAAAAAAAAAAAAAAAAAAAGTGGTAACACTTTAAAATAATAAACACTATAAATCATTTATTAAGCATTAGCAAATAATGAATTCATTCTCTGTTAAGCATAACTCTACATTAATAAAGGTCAACAAGCAGTTTACAACTGCAAATACAAATGCTCTATTCTTGCCTCATAAGCACCTATAATGTGTTTAATGATTGTATTTTCATGCTTCGTTAATGATTAGTTTTTTATAGTATCGCATTATTTACAAACTAGTTATTTGAGAAGAGTTGGGGTTTGTAAGGTCATTCAGAATAAGCTAGCAAATGATTAATAAACTATTCAAATGAACATTGTTATCTTATTATTCAGGCATATACTAATACTTAATTAGCATGTTAATAAATGCTTCATTGACTCATCTTCATCGGGTTTTGTGACCTAATCTAAAGTGAGGGCTATTTATGCTTTATAAATAATTCATAATTAAAGGCTCTGTTATATTCTAAACAGGGAAAAAATGTCTTTGATAGTTTGTATCTATTTGAAGATACACAAATGAAACTGCATCGAATGAATAATAAATCTTTGCAATCTTATGTAAAATAAAATGACTATACAGTTTAAACATTGCTAAATAACATTGAAATGTTGCATCATAATAGATTGTTGAATTAATATATTGTTGTTGTTGTTTTAGCCAATTTTGTCTTCTATTTTGACACTCCTGTTATTCAGCAATGTTTAAACTTTACAGTCATTTTACTGATAAGATTACAAAGATGTACTGTTCAGTTGATAATAAGCCTTTAATTGTCGTTTAAAAGGCATTTATAATTCATAAATCATCCTCAATTTAGGATGAAGATGAGTTAATAAAGCATTTATTAACATACAAAATACCTATTAGTATATGCCTGAATAATAATATATAAATGTTGATTTGAATAGTTTATTAATCATTTACCATCTCATTCTAAATGATCTTAATAAACCCGAACTACTCTTAAATACAACTGATTCGTAAATAATACAATACTCAATTTAGTCATGAAAAATGAATCAGTGAAGTATGAAAGTACAATTATTTAGCATATTTTAAATGTGTTTATATGTCAAGAAAAGAGCATTAGTATCTATAAATGTAGACTTAATGCTTAACAAATAACAAATTCACTATTTGCAAATGCTTAATAGATGATTCATAGTGTGTAATAAAGCATTACCAAAAAAGTAACAGTATAATAACTACACGCTATGAATCATTTATAAAGCATTAGCAAATAGTGAATTCATTCTCTGTTAAACATTAAGTCTACATTAATAAATGTGAGCAGTTTATAACTGCAGATACAAATGCTCTATTCTTGACTTATACTAATATAATAGTGCATTTGTATGTTTATTAACTCAACTTCATCCAGTTTTGTGACCTAATCTAAAGTAAGGACTATTTATGCTTTATAAATCCCTTATAAATGACAATTTAAAGCTCTAGTTAGCTATATTCTAAAATTAAAATAAAATAAATGACTATTCATTTATATCTATTTGAAGATGCACCAATGAAACGGCATCAAATGAAAAATCTTTGCAATCTTAACTAAAACAAAGTTACTGTGCAGTTTAAACATCGCTAAATAACATTGAAATGTTGTGTCATATTGTTAAATGACTATATTGTTCTAGTTTTATCCAGTTTTGTTATATTTTGACACTCAAGTTATTCTGCAATGCTTAAACGTTAGTCATTTTTCTTTTTAGATAAGATTACAATGATCTGAATGATCTTGCAAACCCCCAAATACTCATACAAATGAACTGCAAAGAATGCGATACTTAATTTAGTCATGAAAAATTAATCAGTAACAAAGTAGGAAAATACAATTATTAAGCACAATATACAAGTGCTTATAAGTTTGCATTTGTATCTGCAGTTATAAAATGTTTACTAATGTCTATTAATACAGAGTTAATGCTTAAGAAATTCACTATTTACTAATGCTTAATAGATGATTCATAGTGTGTAGTTGTTATAAAGTGTTACCAAAAATGTTTGCTTATCCATCCGGGCTCAGTAGATGGTCTGAACAAATTGCTTTTGTTTATATATATATATATATATATATATATATATATATATATATATATATATATATATATATATATATATATATATATATATATTTAGACCATTTCACCTAGCAAAGGTGATTATTTATTGTCTTGTTCAAGGAATGCCCAGCAAACGTATTTATGATATAAACAAACTCAGACATAATACAGATGACAAGACGACATCATTGCAAAGATGTCAGATGATCAATACCATTTCAAAACATCAAACAGTACCAAGGCATTACAGAAATGGAGCAATAAAAAGACAGATTCAGCCCTTTATCAGATTAATTAACAAAAAAAAATGCCCCAAACAGCAAAATCAATCGAAGTTAACTTGAAGACCAAATAAATAATTACAAACACATAAGATCTGATTGTAGGAAAACTGTATGAACTTCATCGCTGTGGATTATTGAAGACAATCTATGCATCATATTTTAAGACATACATGTGCACAGATGTCTTCATCTCATATAATAATTATTAATTCATGAAGTGCTGCTGATATGGAAGCTTGTTTGTTTGCCACAGGATTACATATATAATTGGTTTTACTGTGCCCTTGTTATACATGTATATGCACTGACTATATTATTAATATATTGTGCATAATTACATGCTACTATCCCTAAAGCTAAGTATACAGTAAGTGCATGATGTTAATTAATATTATTCAGTACGAGTTAAACGATAACAAGGACACCGCAATAAAAAAAGAAAAGAAAAAACAACTCACAATTCTGATTTTTACAGTTTATACCAAAACAAACATGGAAGTCCGTTAACATTACTAAATAAAAAAATAAAAAAAATAAATACAAAGTAAAAAAAAAATTATTAAGTCAGAATTCTGAGTTGTAAAGTTACAATTCTGATTTATTAAGTCAGAAAGGAAATTCTGACTTACTAACTGGCAATTCTGACTTTATAACTCGGAATTGCAACTTAACTCGGAATTCTAATTTAACAACTCGGAATTCTGACTTACTCGCAATTCTGACTTACTAACTCGGAATTCTTACCTACTAACTCGGAATTTTGACATACTAACTCGGAATTCTGACTTACCAACCCGCAATTCTGACTTACTAACTTGGAATTCTGACTTAACTCAGAATTGCGACTTAACTCAAAATTCTGACTAACTAACTCGGAATTCTGACTAACTCGCAATTCTGACTTATTAACTCGGAATTTTGACATACTCGGAATTCTGACTAACTAACTCGCAATTCTGACTTTAAAACTCGAATTGCGACTTAACTCAGAATTGCGACTTACTAACTTGCAATTCTGACTTATTAATTCAGAATTCTGACTTGACAACTCGGAATTCTGACTTAACTTAGAATTGCGACTTAACTCAGAATTCAGACTTACTTACTCGCAATTCTAACTTAATAACTGGCAATTCTGACTTTTTAACTCAGAATTCTGACTTAACTCGCAATCTTACTTTATCTCCGATTTCTGACTTCATAAGTCACAATTCTGACTTTATAACTAGGAAATTTTGACTTTATAATTTTTTTCTTTTTTTTAATTGAGTGGCGGGAACAGGCTTCCATAACAAATCTGAATTGTGAGATCTGAATCAGATTTGAAATACATTATTGAGATGCTATTGAATATTCAAACTCAAAACGGAGTTAAAAATGATCACGACACTGCAATTTCTTAACTTTAACTGCAACTTTAACTTTAAAAAAGCTCAAATTGACAAAAAGTACTTTTTATTGCATGATGTAAACTGATGTTTTATTTTTAATAGTAAAATTTTACTATTAACCATTTTAATTTGTATTGATATATTTATTAAATATAAAGCTAGCATATGAAATGAAAACTAAGCAAATCAGTATGACAACACTGACTTCGATGAAATGACCAACCAGATCTCAACACATACACGAGTTGGGTATTTAAATGAGCGACAACACAAACTTAGTATAAAAGAAGTATACAGAAGAAAAATGTAGGTGATGACCTGATATTGCTTAGTGGTTCATTTCAGGAGCAACATGTTAAAAAAATTGCAAGAACAACAGTTCTGCACTGAGAAAAGCCTGCAAGTTGAGCACAGTTGAAGTGCGCTGCATAAATTATGCAAATAAAATCGCATCTGGAAAAAACAGAAGGGATCTCCAGCATTACATTGAGCCTTCCTTGTGCATTTTCAGATAAAGAATGCTGTATTTGTTTCTTAAATTAGCAGCAAAACTCTTAGAAAGTCATGCAGAAGTAATACTGTGAACTAACCAATTCTGAGTGATTTCATTGGCAGCCTGATTTGATTTGGATTGCAATAAAAAGCGACATACAGTTTTCAGATATGAAGTCTTCACTTCCTAAAGCTCTACCAATCTTCTGAATTTTCCCAAAGAACACCTAAGACCCCCTTTTCCCCCTATCCCAATGCAATTCCCAGTGTCATTGCAAACAAAGATAATCAGAGATGCCGTGCTGTTGAGTAAATCAGGTCTCAACAGTTGCAGCGATGGATGGACCAGATACTGCGTCAGGAGACATAACACAAACCGCTTTCACAATGTTTGGCCTTTCACAACTGAATCCCCACCTCGATTCTTCCATGGGAAGAGATATGCAAAGTAAAGATGACGTGAATATATATATCATTAATACATCTACGTCGATATATATTTGTCAAAAAACAAGCTGGCTTGGAAATGACGCTGGATCTCGGATTCGGTGAGCCACTAGAGTTTGGTTTGTTCCGCATGCATTGATGGTTTCCTATGCATCTGCATGCAGCCTCCTGTAGAGATGAAGCGCTGCCGACTACTATTCAAGCACAAAAATCCAGAGCTTCGGTGATATTTGATGGTAATCATCTAAAAGAGCCACATTTGGTAATGAGTTCAATCGTTTTGCGGTCTACATGATGCTTTAAGGGAATATCGGTGACGAGCCGCATGCCCGGGGGGGGGGGCGGAGCTTCTACAGTTCCCAGCCTGTAAACTCCACCCATTTAAAAAAGGAAACAATCTTGAGCAGCAGAAGTGAAACAAACAAACAAAATAATCCAGGAAGAAAGACAGCTCTCCCCTAGCAGGTTTTTGGTCTTTTCGTAATTGTTTTTGACAGTGTTTACAGAAATCCCTGGTGGTTTGGACGTGCAATACGGAGTGTATTTACTGCTGAAAGAAATGCTAGGAAATCGCCTCGATCTGGTAGGAGCAGTCATCTGGATGTAGGGCGGGTTTGGCTTCAGTAGTGCTCTTGGGTTTGGGGGGCCAGTCAGGATCTACGCTTAATTCTTGTGCCAGATGCATGTAGCGTGCCTTGGGAACTTTTCTTCGCCGGCAGCAGAGCCAGGAGAGGCATTTAGATCCATACATGTCTATTCCTCCCTATAGACACACACACAATGGCATGGAAGAACAAGGAGGAGAAGATGTATGCATTTTCCACATGTTCTTGACAAGACAGAATTTCAACCTGTAAATCAGGGGTCACCAATCCTGGTCTTGGAGGGCCGGTGTCCATGCAGGGTTTAGCTCCAACTTGCCTCAACACATCTGCCTGGATGTTTCAAGCATACCAAGTAAGACTTTGATTAGCTTGTTCAGGTGTGTTTGAATAGGGTTGGAGCTAAAATCTGCAGGACACCGGCCCTCCAGGTACAAGTTTGGTGACCACTGCTGTAAATGTTAAACGTGGTAAGTGAAATGAGATTCATATTCATCTGCAGAAACGATGTGAGAGCCTTTGGTTTGTTTTGTCATGCCTTCAAGCACATGCAAGGGAAATGAATGTCTATTTGAATTAATGCCAAAATTCAAATGGTGTGTATTTCTTTGCTTTAGCTAATCTTAAGCTCCAAATGGCATTAAATAAGAATGTTCCGGGTTCAAGTCTATGGCATGCTGTCAGTTACCACAGAAAATAACAACTGGCTTTTATTTAAAAGACAAGCAAATGTGGTGTATAAAGAGTAGGACAGGGATGAAGTTAAAAAGACACTAAATATGTCTGAATTGGGTTAAAGTCCATGGCGCACTCCTAATTCTATTTTTGTAGTACCCCTACCCCTTTCCATTGACCCTTAAAACAGAGTGTGAAGGGGAAGGGCTTCAAAATTTACCTCTATGAAATGGGACAGCACTACAGCACCTGCACACGTCATCATGTCATCATAATCTCTGGCTTCATAAGAGATCAGCGACCGCGACTGCTGTGGTTATTCCAGATGTGTTATTTTTTGGTATTTTTATCTTCAGGAAATCACTGAAGGGATATATTATGGTAACATAAGGATATAATGTGGCAATAAGATCATAACTATACTGCACATTTACACAGTGGCCATATTCTTCCATGTAAATACACAAAAAAACAACATTAACATTATAGCAGACACTGTAAAAGCTCATTCACAGCCTCTAGACTTTTCTGACAGGGTATTTGAGTGTCATTGAGTGGCAGAAAGCAATGGGACCGCTATACATGAGTTATGATTATGGATTATAGATAGCGAAATTTAGCTGTTTTTATTTTAAACGGTAAAACACGAATGTCGTTATGAATGTATTAAAACATGTGCTTGTTGTCAAAATTCGTAATAATCACAAAAAAATACTAATTTGTGGATCTCCTTACTTCCGGGTGCAGCTGTGGCTGGTGTATTCTGGGAAATTTTCTTACCCCTTGGTTTCCAGTGTGGACCTGAAAAATCTCTGTTTGAAGGGGTATCTAGCCCTTCCCCTTAGCCCTACGCCTTCAAGCTTAAGAGAATTGGAACACCCCTACCCCTTCATGGAAATGCACAAAACGAGAGGTGGGGGGAGGGAAAGGGCTAAGGGGTAGAATTAGGGCTGGGCCCACATGAACCAGAAGCTGCAACCATTTTTATTTTTTTTTGTATTGTGACACAGTTCCTAGAGAAACGGAATGTTAAATGAGAAAACAGTAGGTATTGAAAATTGAAAGTTTAAATTTTACTGTCTAGAGGGGTTCATCTAACCAGTTTAAGAAAATTTGGGACCCATTAAGGAATATATAAGTATATTGATCTATAGTCAAATTGATTCTTTTTTTCCCTAAGTGCAAAGTAGAGTGTATTGTTTGATTGTACAATTGTAGTTTTTGTTAAGCCACATTTTTATTTGTTGGTTTTTTTCTCTTTTTCACACTTAAGTTGATACTATTTATACTTTTTGTAATATAACTGTTTTGGTTTGTCATTTTTTTTTACTGTAATTTGTCATAAAAGTCATAAAAAAGAAAAAAGTGGGTGTGGCTTGTTTTTTCTACTGCAAGCTGATTGGATGTAGTGAAGTAGGCATTCCATTCCAAAAGATTTGAATAGTTTACTTTATAAGAGTTATATTAGAACCTAACAGACTCCTCCTCATCATCACCTTTCTGTTCATGGTCAAAACTGACATTTAGAGGGGCGTGGTTAATTATGTTAGCCACGCCCAATATCTCAAAATCACAATCTGGAAATTTAACTGAAAACAAACAGAATTTTCAGATTTTAAGCTTGAATTATAAGAGTGAACTTTTTTTTTTCTTAATGACATGCACAGTTGAATTGTTCACCACAAAACTGCCAATGTGAGCTAATAAAAACATAGCTAGTTTTGATTTTATTTGCACTTTAAAATGGAAATTGTGTGACTAAGGTTGCTTACTAACCTTGGAAATAGAGTAACTAATACTGCTTACTACTAACCTAGGGCACAAAAAAAAAGTTTATACATATAATTTAATACAAAATGTGCTGATAGAAAATGTATTATTATAATAATTTTAATGTTAATAAAAGTTCAAAAATATAAATATCAGATTTAGAATTTATTTAATATTAAGTAATGTCTTGTTCAATGGACGTCATTTTTACTTCATTACTTAACACGGTTTTTGCTTTTATACTCTGAAAGAGGAGTGAAAATAATTTTTGTGGTAAAGGATGGCAGGCCACAGAATCTGTCAATGGAAACTGTTTTAAACCCGGAACATTCCTTTTAAGGAATATTCCAGGTGATCTGAAATTTTAAATCTACTTTAAGAAGGGAAAAGCTTTTTTTAGTATCAATATTATTTTTCACATTTTTTTTTTCAGGGACTGTAAGCTGAAATGAAATAAAACAAATGTAAAAAATACTTTCTTGGAGACATAGATCAAATTTAAGTACTAAAATTACCAAAACTGAAAACAAAAAAGCCAGATAAAACATAAAAACCTGAACTATAAATATTAATTAACAGCTCAAAATATACTGAATAGACTCATTATGTACATAATAAAGTAATACTAGATAGCACCTGCTTAAAGACACCACAAACGTGTGATGTAACATCTTACATGTGCTTAACAAGATACAATATCCCCCACATTAATTAAATCAGTAACCTGTAACCAGGCATTTGTCAACCTAGAAAAGTAGCCTCTCACTTTAAAATGATGATTCAAGCAATAAACAGTTATTTGTGGCACTTGACAGCAGGCCACAGTCTCATTTTGAACCCTGAACATTCCTTTAAAGGAGTATTCAGAGTTATTTAATGTCTATGGCAGCTTGATTAAAAGAGTTCAAATTACAGTACATACATTTGGGACTGGTAAAATTCTTATATGCTTTTGAAGCCATTTATGCTCACCAAGACAACGTTTACTTTTTGTGAAAAACATTCTTTTTCTAGAAACATGAAACATTGTTTTTTGTGTGAAACATCATTCCAAGAATTTAAATAAGGGTCCTATTTTTTTAGACATTTTAAAAATGTAGTACATTTCTTTAAACAAAGCTGATTTTACAGCAGGTATCATTTCAGTCATTTATGGAGGCTTGTTTCTGCAACAAATTACTAATTTAATTGCAAGTTTTGTTTTGTAAGTCAATATTTAATATTTATCAATATTACAGAAGTTCACATTTCAAAATTCTGACTTTTCCCTCTAATTTAGAAGTTAATAACAAAATTCTCTGAAAAAAGTTATTGAGATATGAAGGCAGATTTGTGAAAAAATAAAAAGGCAGAATTTTGAGAAAGTTATATTTCAAAATTAAAAGACAAGTCAAAAATGAGAGGGAAAAAAATAACTCAATTGTATTTTTGTGTTATTTCCCAAACAAAAACCAGTTACAAGAAATATTTATGCAACTCTGAGAAAAAAAAAAGTTAGAACTGCAAGATGTAAGTTTAGAAATGAAAAATATATATAAATAAAATGCAATTACAAAAAAACTCAAACAAATAATTTGCATAACATAACTAAACATAAAAAACAATAAACATTACACTCTATAAACAATTGAGAAATTTGAGAATTTTGAGAAACTCAAATTCCGAAAATAGAGACGAGTCAAAACTGAGTATGACTAAGAACTCAAATGTACGTTTTTTTTTTCATTATCGCCTTTACAAAAATCTGTTAAGAGAAATGTTTATGCAAGTTAAGAAAAAAAAATAATAAAATAAATAAATATTGCAATAACAAATTAATTAAAGTCAGTATTGCATAATATAAACTCTAGAAACAAACTATTGAGATTTTTTAAAAAGGGTTGGGAAACTCAAATTGCAAAAATAGACAAAGTCTAAATTGAGGAAAAAATGAAACTCAAAAATTTTTTTGTGTTATTGCCTAAACAAAAATAAGTCACAAGAAATATTTATGCAACAAAAAAGAAAAAAAAAGTTAGAATTGCAAGATGTAATCACAATTGCAAATAGTCAATTTTGCATAATATAAACTATATAAACAAACAATTTACATAATAAACAGATTCTATAAAATTTTTTTGAGAGTTTTGAGAAACTCAAATTCCATGAGAATATGCAACTTTGAGAAAACAAAAATTTTGAATAGCAAGATGGAAGTTTAGAAATGGGGAAAAAACAATTACAAATATAAACTCTATATACTTAATTTACATAACAACAATAAACAGAAAATAACAAACAAAACTTAATTGTAGGTTTTTTTACATTATCGTTACAATATGTTTTTTTACATTAACGTCTAAAAAAGAAAAGGAAAAATACGCAATTACAAATATCAAAGTCGGTATTGCAAAATATAAGCTCCATAAACAAACAATTTACATAGTAAACATAACAATAAACAAAACTCTGTAAACAAACTATTTTGAAACTCAAATTCCAAAAATAGAGACAAGTGTCAAAACTGAGGAAAAAATTTACTGAATTGTAAGATTTTATGTTAACGTCTAAACAAAAAACAATTACAAGAATTATTTATGCAACTTTAAGAACAAAAATTGCAAGATGTAAATGGGAAGAAATTTGCGATTACAAATATCGAGGTTAGTATTGCATAATATAATCTCTGTAAACAATCGCACGAAACAAAAGTGCAATTTTGAGAAAAATACAGCAA